TGTTTTATTATACTTAAAATTGTTTAAACTTTTATTTATTTATATAATATCATATTTAAAATACATAATTAAAAAAATGATGTTTTTTATTGGGTATAAACTCAATTTGTTACGCGGAGGGATTAAAGACTTTGTATAAAAAAGAGAAAAATTTAATTTTTTTATATATTCGGTAAATAAAAAAAAAGAATGTCCTGTTTAATATTTTGAAGAGATTTATTTAATGATGGTTTAAAGTTTTAGTTATGTATTAGGATTGATCGTAACATATCAACAATTGTGAGGATGACAATGTGAAGAAAAAAATATGAATGTCAATAAATTAATCATTATATTTATATTCTATAACTCTAATAAAAGAAAATAATATATGCATGAACTGACATTGTAATATTTCAACATTAGTTTGGTTTTTTTAAATAATCGTCACCGTGCAACGCACGGTGCACAAAACTAGTGTATTATAACACTACCAAAAAACCCACTTTTTCCGGCGGCCATATCCGTCGGAAATTATCCGCCGGAAAAAGTGGTGCCGGTGATTGTTTTTTCGGCGGAAAAACCGGCGGATTTTTCCCGTTTTCGGCGGATCACGGCTACCGGAAATTCCTCGCCGGTTTATTTATAAAATATTGATTAAATTAACAAACGGTTAAGTATTTTTTTTTTTTAAATTCCGGCGGAATTTTCTGCCGGAAATTTTTCTCGTCGGAAAAAAAAAAAATCTTTTCTAAAAGAATATGTTTTAAATTTTTAAAAATACCGGCGGATATATCCGCCGGAAAAATATAGAAATATTAATATTTTAATTTTTTTTAAATATTTTTATATTACAAACATTACCGGCGGATAAATCCGCCGGAAAAAATATATAAATATTAATATTTAAAACTTGTATTTAAAACATGTATTTAAAACCTGTAAATCTGTACAATATTAAAACTGAAAATAAAAAGGCAAAATATAACTAAATATCATACATTAAAGTGAAACTACAATTATTCCAACCAAACAAAAACTAAATTGTTATAAACAAAACTAAATTGTTTCAAAGCAAAAGACAATATTCAATATGGTGGTGGCGGGGGGAAATATTGAGATTGACTGAGTTGTCTAACCAAAACAGTCATATCTTGAAGTTGTCTATCATGTTGCTCCTCCCTCTGTCGTCATCGCTCCGCCTCCACCCGCTGTCGCTCCTCCTCCGTCAAACGTCGCTCCTCTGCTTCCCGCCATTGCTCCTCCGCCGCCAAACGTCGCTCCTTTGCTTCCCGCCATCGCTCCTCTGCCGCCAAACGTCGATCCTCCTCCATCATCCGTTGGCGCTGACTTTGTTCCTGTAAGTCTCTAAGTTGGCGCTGACTTTGTTCCTGTAAGTCTCTAAGTTGGGTCTTTAAGGTTTGAATTTCCTATAAAATAAATAAAACGTTATAATATTTAATATGAATTATAAACTAAGTCGATAAACATGATCAAAGG